CAATGACATTTCTGGTAAAAAAAAAACACATTTCTGGTGATAAAAACTAAAATATACGGTGCTTATAACATTCATTTGGTATTCTTTCTCGCCCATACTGAAACAGTTTCCCTGAAATTCTGGTTTTCAAGATAATAGCTATTACTGCCTTACACTTAGTGACAAATACAAAACTGAAAAGTGCAGTACCAGTCAAAAGTTTAGATTCACTTGCATTTATTTCAAAACTTTCACAAATTGTTAAATGTTTCTGACTTAAACATGTAATTTATCAAACATAAGCATCAATAAACTTAACAAAACGCTGCTTCCATTTTAAACTGTTCATTATTTTTTCATTTTGCATCGATTCTGTAGTTGATAACGAAATGAACGAAAGTGCATGTAAGTATCTATTCTAAAACAACTGTAATTTATTTAAAAAATTTTATTAATTCTTAGTTTATAAACAATTTACTTTGCATCTTCTTTTATGGGGTTAATTATAAGTTATGTTCATGTACATGACAAATTTTAAATATTGATATAATAGCCTTAATTAGCCAGAATAACTGGTACATATTAAAAACAAAAACAAAAAAAAACAATTTATACAATTTATTACAGAAATATGGGTCAAAACCAGAAATAAGTGTGGAAACGCGTGCAGTTATTATTGCACTTCATGCAGAAGGCTATTCAAGTAGACAAACTGCCTCTAAAGCTAATGTTTCTCAGACCACTGTTGTCAGAACTTTGCAAGGGAAGAAATAAACTGACCAAAATAAGATCCGCCAGCAATCAGGGAGACCTAAAATAACGTCCAAACGTGAGGATAAGTTTATCCGCATTCAAAGTAAGCGTCAGCGGACTCGAACAGCACCAGAGATCAGTGAGGAATTAAATGCTACTCGACAGAAAATTGTGTCAGTATCTACTGTACAACGTCGACTTCGTGACTATGGTTTAAAAGGTTGAGTAGCTGCTAGGAAACCTCTTTAAAAAAACAAAATAAAGTAAAGCGACTGCAAAGGGCTAAAAAACATGTTACCTGGTCTTTAAAACAGTGGTCAAAGGTTTTGTTTACGGACGAATCAAAATTTGAATTGTTTGGAAGCAAACGAAGACAGTATGTTCGTCGTTTAGTTGGGGAACGTATGACAACTCAATGTTGACTACCAACTGTGAAGCATGGTGGAGGTTCAGTCATGATTTGGGGATGTTTTGACGGTGATAAAGTTGGAGATCTTGTAAGAATAGAGGGTATTATGAATAAAAATTATTATCGCAGAATTTTGCAGCGTTACGCTTTTTCATGTGGACAGAGAATCGTGGGTCAAGGATTTGTTTTTCAGCAAGATAACGATCCAAAACACTCATCGAAATTGTGTACGAACTACATTGCATCAAAAGTACTGAAATACATGGATTTGCCCCCTTAATCCCCTGATATTAATCCTATTGAGCTATTGTGGGATGAACTCGCTAGAAATGTTACGAAAATGAGATGTATCAATCAAAACAAGCTTTGGGAATCTTTACTTAGTTGCTGGAACCAGATATCAGATAGACATTAATGAGATATTATAGCTAAAATAAAAAAAAGAGTTTATGGCAAGTTCTGTAATATTTAATTTTCTTTTTCGTTATGCTAGTTAAAAGTTTTGAATATTAACTTTAAAAGTGTATACTATTTCATACTTTAATAAAAAAAGAATAAAATTTTTGTCATTAATTTATAAAGTAACACTGTATATCAGTTATTTTAATTTATAAAGTAACAGTATGTCTGTTATTTTAATTTATAAAGTAACACTATATGTCTGTTACTTAAATTAATAAAGTAACACTATATGTCTGTGATGTTAATTTACAAAGTAGCACTATAAGTCTGTGTTGAAGGACTGCTCCAAAAATCTTTACATTTCATGGTCTTGTATAACTGAACAAATAGTTCTACAAAACTCTGAACTTATGTATCTACAATCCGATATCTATTATTGAGAGTTTTTGCATGCAGAAAAGTGTTCACTAATCTTTGTTAAATATGGAAAATGTGTTCAATTTTTATCTTAATTAGTGTCCCATCCTCAACAGAAAGTTACATTTACATCTACACAGAAAGCTTTGAGGGTAAGTTTAGATACTTTGTATTCCAAAATAGTTTATTAAGATACTTTGAGTAACCAAAACAAAAAAAGATATTTTCCTTAAAATCATTAGTTTGCGGGTGTGAGATGTTCTTGTTTCGGGTGTGACATTTATTTAAAGTCAAGCCCGCATTTTAAACTGAACACAAGTGTAATTTAAACATAATATTAAACAAATTTATCTGAAAATAATTTGCTGGAAAACATGTAAATAGTAACAGTAACTATAACGTTTAATTTAGTTGGGTGAACCCCAATTAATAAATTAAAATTTGTCTCATTTGTGCCCTGCATCTTCAGTTTGGATTGATAAGTTAATGTTTCGTCAGGAAAAAATTTTTGTATATGATATATGATTGAGCAAATAAATTACACTGTTAAAAATTTCTCGGAAAGAATAGTTAAATAACAATTTATTTAATTGTTATTTTACCATATTCAAACAAAACAGTCAAATAATGATAAATAAGATGGTAAAAAAACTGTTAACTGTGAGAAAAATAGTTTATTAACTGTTTTGACATCATGCAGTTAAATAACCAGAATTTTATCGCACCAACTAAGCCCGCCTAATGAAGCTTCTTGCAACTGCGTATATGTTATAGCCGAGAGGGCTAATCTGTCAATCTCCTGACCGGCAGAACTTGGGTTCGAGTCCCAACGGTGACACCACAATGTTTCCCTTCACCAAATGAAGAGTTTCCTTAATATGTCTCTTACACTCTCCAATGCCTATTATGAAATGCCTAGCAAAAAAGAAAAACCAATTAAATATCTTTTTTTGTGGTTTTGAAAAAATGCCAATTCCAAATGGTTAAAAAGCCGTATAGTTTAGTATCCATGGTTTAATAACCATACTAGTTCAAAACAGTTTCAAAACCATAAAGGTAAAAAATTTTCTTTACCGTAAACTTTGCGGTTAATTGGATAGACAGACAGCTGTCTGCTATTTTACCATAATTTCAGAATGAAAATTCTAACATTGTATGAGGTATAAAATCTGTTGCAATTTTAAAAAAATAGCTATTTTTTCTAAATATACATGTATTATTTTGTCATTTTATAGCAGCTTGTTTAAATTTTTTTTAAAAATAAATATAATATTAGTAGCATATTTCTTCGCTTTTTACTTAAACTTAATAAAAAGAAAGAATTAGAAAAGAGGAATAATTGAAACGGTAATTTAAATATTTATAAAGTTAGCATGAAATGTAGATACTGAGTTTGAAATTAAACAAAATTTAATAAAATTAACTTATTCTAAGATCAAAAATTTTTAATCATATCAATAATAAATATTTAAAATTCGTTAATTATGTATTTTTGGACTTTAAGCACTATATTTATTCGATTTATATATTAATTTCTTTTTTAGAAGAAGATATAGAACAGAAAAATCACGAAATCTTCGGAAAATGATTAAGGAAAAACCTCTTAAGTATGCAAAATATCTACAAAAGAGAGAAAAAGAGACAAAAGCAAGAATAAAGAAGAAAAAAAAAGAGAAAACAATTACAGCGGCAAAAGCCGAATGAGAGGTAAAGAAAATTAATTTTATTAACTTTTGATAATATTACTGTATTACATTCATTAATATATTCCTTAAGAAAATCGTAAATAATTGCGTGTGTCATCTGGACTTAAATCACTTTTCATTTAGTCTTAGATTCATTATTTTCAATGCAATGTCATGAAATAGGTTAAAAAAATTTTTATGAAACATCACTTTGGAAGTAATCAGAACATTTTTTTTCTTACTTTAATTTACGTTTTAATAAAAAATAAAAAATATATATATATATAAATGATTGATTTTTTTTAACGCTATGTCTCGATGCGTTAGTCATTATTTTTCAAAATTCGGTCTCTTTTGTTTATTTCTTTTTTCTTCAGAAAATGAATTTTAAAAAACTCAGACATTTAAAATTTGATTTAAAAAGAACTCTTAGACCAATTAGATTCAAATTTTGAATTTTATGCTACAAAATTAAATTTTTTAAAATGATAAAAATTGTGTATACCTCAGAATTCAAAATTATTTTGTCTTTTATTAAAAAAGAGAATAAAAACTAATAAATAAGTATTAAATTATGCTTCGGATAAACGAATTTCATAATTGTGTGCCATAATTTTATGGATCAGCTTTAAAAGTTGTAGCACTATGGCAAAATACGCAAAAAGTCAAATGAACAATAAAGGGTGCAAACTTCTCTTCTTGACCAAACATCCTATTTTCTAGGTTGCGTCTATCTCCCATTTTTTGGAGGAATAATCATCATCATAATCCATCGAATAAATTGTATCTATATTCAGAGACAGTACATTTAGCACCTACATTTAATACTATCCTACTTTGAATGTAAACGCTTTAAAATGTAATTTTAATTTATGTTTTTCATCCAATTTTCGACGGATTTTTTGAGAGGGCTTTTTAGAAACAGGACAAAAAGGTTAATTTCCGAGATAATTGATAAAGATATTTAAAATTGATTGTTGATAGATATTTAAAATAGTTTTTAAAAGATTTTCTGAGAAATTAATGTAAGAATTCATTTTCTCTACAAATACACTCTATAACAAAAAATCGACGCACCAAGAAACAATCATCCGATTGGTTTGAAATTTCGTATGCATGAATGTTTTGAACAGATATGGTTGGAATGATGCGGACTGGGGACGTATAGTCTTTAGCGACGAATCCCGCTTCCAACTGTGTCCAGACAGATCATTGAAGACGTGTTTGGAGACGCACAGGGCAGAGGGGGGGGATCCTGCCTTCACTATTGCACGCCACACCGGCCCTCAACAAGGCATTATGGTCTGGGATGTCATTTCCTTTGACAGCCGGACCCCTTTGGTCGTCATTAGAGGTACACTTACTGCACAGCAGTACGTCGACGACATCCTAAGACCTGTTTTGTTACCGTTCCTTTTGCAGCTCCCTGGGCTGGTTTTTCAGCAGGGCAATGCCAGACCACATACGGCACGTGTTGCTATGAACTGTCTGCAACCTTGTCAAACTCTTCCTTGGCCTGCCAGATCACCAGATCTCTCTCCCATCGAGCATGTCTGGGATATGATTGGAAGGCAATTGCATCTGGCACGAAATGTTGATGACCACGTTCGACAATTGGATCGAATTTGGCAGGAAGTACCGCAAGAGACCATCCGGGAGCTTTATCGGTCTATGCCACGCCGTGTGGCAGCTTGTATCCAGGCTGGAGGCGGGTCAACACCTTATTGAACTTGTTACTGTAACTCTGCAATAAATTATTCAATTGTTCTGAAATTTTAATCATTTACTATTCTGTACATTGTCCTCTTATCCACCAATTCTCGTTTCAATCGGAAAAGTCCTTCTTGGTGCGTCGATTTTTTTGTTATAGAGTGTATTTGCTTATAGCGGGACTTCTTAATTCACCTCAGTTATTTAACCATTTATTATTGTTGTCATTTACGTTGCAAATAGATTTTTATTTATTGTTTATATACAGTTTTATAAACCTATATCAGTCTGGGTAGACAATATCTAATCTTCCGCAGAAATTACTTCATAGCAATAATCGTTAAATAATTTCCTATTACTACGATGACAGTCCGTTTTTTTCTTTTTGAAATTGTATTTTATACGAGGCCATTTACAGTTTATTTTAAAGATAGTATATATTTCATAAACATTTTATTACAAATAGAATGATTGAAAAGTGTTAATATTAACAACGAGCATCAATAAATATCAGGGAATTTGTTTATTGGTAAGTCATTGAAAGGCATTTCAGTGATGGGTCCAATCGGGTCGTGAATTTACAAATGCATAAAAATGTTTGTAAACCTTTAAATTGTGTTAAGGAAATTGACAATAACAACTTCTCATTTTTATAAAAAATAACTTTTAACAAAAGGACGAATATTGAATGACAAATATCTTTAAAATATTATTTAAACATGTAACATCATAAAAAAGAAACAATAAGATAATACATCTCCAATTAATTAACAACATTATTAACTTGTTAGCAATCACATTATCTGTAGCAAGTGGTGAGCGTTCTTAACTATAAAACTATGCATTAGAAACTATAAAACTTATTTAAAGTCTAGAATGTTACAAGAGAGAGAGAGAGAGAGTCAATATTTTTGACAATAACTATTAGAAATGAAACCGCAAAAATAATTGATTTTGAATATTCTATAATTATTTTTGTGTCTATTAAAGCATGAAAAAATAAATTCCAGTGTTAATGTTTATATATTTGTAAGTCATAAAAGATCATTAAAAATACTACTTATAATAGATATCTATTCAAGAATACATGGTGATATTCTCATTCATTAAACTAACGACTTTCAATTTTTACTTTAAAATCGTTAATTGTTTGTGTCTTCTTCATAGATCCCTTCAGTCTCTTCAAATCAATATATTTATGATTTTGTAATATATCTCAAAATTTTCTGATAGGACTATTGTATCTTAAAGTATAAAAAGCAATTTTATAAAGTGTTGTGACTACACCAGCGACATAATTCAAGGGAAAAATAAGTTACAGTTTTTTTTTAAAATTCAGATTCTTCTTTCAAAATTGAATTAAGGGCGTGAGTCAAAATCGCCCGGGGTCTGAAAACGTCTTTCGCTGGCACTCTGAATATTTCTTACACAAAAAAGTATTGAGAAAGCAATTTAATTTTTTCATGCAATTCTCATTTAAATATTATTGTCTATTACAGAAAAAATGCTGTTAAAACAATTGTTTTAATTCAAGGAATTTTAAGTTTTTGTACTGAAAGATGAAATTGCATCTGTCACACCCGCAACGTGTGGAAATTATTATTTATTTTTTTGAAAAATAAGTAAAATACAGGGCAGCCTGCAGACCTGCATTAATACATATGTATGTAGTCAACGTTGATCAATGACAACAACCTTGACTAATGACAATGGCTGAGGGGATAGAGCGTTCGCCTTCCAATGCGGCGGTTTGAATCTCAGTCGATACGAATTCCGCATCCGGCTTGCACCGACCACAGTGCTGATGTGAAATATCCTCAGTGGTAGACGGATCATGGGTTAGAGTCTCCTTGCCGTCAGGCTAACCGTGGGAGGTCCTCGTGGTCTTCCTCTCCATGTAACGCAAATGCGGGTTAGCTCCATCAAATTCCACCCAATACTCGATCCAGGAGTTCCCTTGTCTTCTGGAGTGGGTACACAATTACAAGACTACGGAGTTGAACATTAGTAGTTGTAAACCCATAAAATTGGGTCGGCTGTTCAACGACGGTTATAAAGTAAAATAAAATTTAAACTATAACGTTTTAGAATATCTTAACTAATGGCTAATTAAGTTTGTGTAAATGTCACAAATTCGGTAAATGTCAAATGTTGGAATGGGGGTGTATTAGTTTTACTTCCGTTATTAGTGCGTTATTCCGTTAAAGTGCTATTGTTTTTTTAAAATTTAGTACTTTTTAATGCATTTAGGTAACAAGTTTAAGCAAAAAATACCGTTACTTGAAACCGAAAGAGTCAAAAAAGTGATTTTTGCTTTTTTTTAAAAGTACCATTAAACTCTGTTAGTAGTACTACTGCTAGTAATAGTAATTTACTACTTGAGTTTCACATTACTGAAAATATTCCTGAGAATGATCAAAAGACAACGACTCTTAGACACCCGTAAAATATTAATTTTTCTTCTTGCATTCTATCACGTTACTTAACTTTAAAACATAAATTATACTTATAAATATTAAGAATACTGACTAATGAACTCCTTCAAGATATTGCCTCAATACTTGGTAAAAACTGGAAATGAATCATTGATAAGATGCGAAATCAAATATAAAGATGCAAAATGAAATAAGAGAACACCTTCAAATTTCATCTGGTATTGAAAAAGGTTTGGGTTTTTTTTTTAATTCCAAAATAGTTATTCGTAACATTTTTGTTTCTTTTCCGCTTAAAAATTAATCTGTCATCCTGCATGTGCATATATTTTTAACATGGTTTCTAAAAATATAAGTTAAAGGGATAAGTAAGAGGGATTCTAAAAGTATAAGTTAAAGGTATAAGTAACAGGAATTCAAAAAATATAAGTTAAAGGAAAGAGTAACAGGGATTCTAAAAATATAAGTTAAAGGACTAAGCAACAGGGATTCTAAAAATATAAGTTGAAGGAATGAGAAACAGGAATTTAAAAAAATATAGGTTAAAAGAATAAGTAACAAGGATTCTGATAATATAAGTTAAAGAAATACGTAACAGAGATTCTAAAAATATAAGCTAAAGGAATAGGTAACAAAGATTATAAAAATATAATGAATTATTCTTCATTATATTTTTAGAATCTACGTTTGCACATATTTTAAAGATATTTATTATTATGATATTTAAAGATATTTATTAACTATTTAAAGTATTAAACTTATAACAGTTATTCTTATAGATTTATTTATTTAGTACAAAAGAAATACTCATCTTGGATTTTTAATATAAATTTTGAACCGAAAAAAATACCCATTTTTTTCCTTAATAGATATTTTTCTA